GTATTAGTTCATTCAATAAATAAAATAATAAAAATGCAAGTTCTTTTTATTTAGATAAACTTTTAGTAGTTTTTCTGGTATGTCAAAATATTAGGTCATTTATCTGTTATCAATTATTTATTTGTTTTTTAAAATGTATTGTAACAGAGATCTTTGGGATGTTTACCGGGTAATGATTCTATATATTTAAACTTTACTTACTATTTGTGAAATCTTCTCATCAAGTGTCCTGATGCTTCTCAGTAATCCAGGTAGAAAAAATCAAAAAGAAAATATAAGTACGTCCTCTGGATGGGTTCTTCTTTAGTGAAACGTTTCGTCTCTCCTCCAAGAGACTTCTTCAAACTGTCCACCTAACCAAGTTTTAAAACCTTATATCCAGCCAAAAAAGTCTTTTTGATCTTGTTTTGAGACTGATTTACTAAACAAGAACTGATTGTGTAAGAATAATCATCTTGTTTTCAGAATGTGTAAGATTATTTGTCTTGTTAGTCTGAAAATTTGACTCAAATTAAGTCAAAATTTCTGCCAGTGGAATAAGAAAACTTTACTTGGTAAGATTCTTGAAATAAGAAAAAATTGATTCAAATCAAGTATTTCAAGAATCTTACCAAGTAAATTTTCTTACTCCACTGGCAGAAATGTTTGACTTAATTTGAGTCAAATTTTTAGACTATCAAGACAAATAGTCTTACACATTCTGAAAACAAGATGATTATTCTTACACAATCAGTTCTTAACCTAATAAAGTTCATTGTGTCTATAAAATCAATCTACTACGTTTTCCTAATTACTAGACACTTAATTTTTTATGTCTGTACAGACATACCTGACATGTTTCGACGTGTACTTCCGTCTTCATCAGAGGTGTCACAGCTGATGTTGATTGGAGGCGGTCTCGGCTTATCAATATATATTGACAAGCCGACACCGCCCCCTGCTGGCTTCACTGCTGGAGGATGTCACTCCAGGTATGTGAGAGCTTGTAGGCCCCCTCATCCGGGSTCATAGACCGGGATGAGGGACCAGGATAGTGAGAGCCTACAAGCTCTCACTAAACTAAACTAAAATTATGCAATAATAACTAATAAAAACAGTCAAATCCACTGTAAAAACTAATTAAAACTAACTGAATTAAAAGAAAAAGTTACAAAGAAATAACAACTAAACTATAATGAAAAATCCAAAACTATTTGTCAGGTCCCCTCACTCCCTGACCCTGTGTGACCTGTAAACACTCTGTTCTGATCTAAGCTAAGCTGCACTACACCACGRTGAAGATGCATGTAAGACTGGTCTAAACTAGCCTGGCCCTGGCCTTCCTACACAGTTCCTCTCTTCTAGTTTCTCTTCAAGCGAAGGACAAGGCCTGGTTTTAACCAGGCTCAGTCTAAATTAGCTCGAACATAAATCTGCCAAGAGAATGGTTCCCGAGTTCCTCACAGGTCTGTTTTAACTGGCTTTGTTTGTGTGTGTGTGTAGGATGTAAACTAGGAGTAGAAGACTTCCTGGTTCTGGAGTTACTCAGGTGGTTCAAGCAGAACTTCTCCTGGGTGGACAGTTTGCCCTGCAGCCAGTGTGGAGGTCCTACACAGCACGGCCACGCCCTTACTCCCTCTGCTGATGACCTCCGCTGGGGAGCTCAGAGGGTGGAGAACCACTACTGTCAGAGCTGCCAGCTGTCCACGCGCTTCCCCAGGTGTGTGTGTGTGTGTGTGTGTGTGTGTGTGTGTGTGTGTGTGTGTGTCACAGTTTAATACAAACCTTCAGTCTAGATTGGAGCAGAAAAGTACGTTTATGTTGGAGGACAAGTGAAGCAAGTTTTTCTGCCCTTCATGCCACGACTTTAGACTAAACCAGAGAAAGCTGATGAGAAATGTTGAAGTGTAGCTGCTTTTAAACCTCATAAATAATTTTTTGTGCAATACCACAAGATTCACACTCAGTTTGTGTTGTGAATGATTCTCTGCTACTACCACACCTTTTTTTTAGCTCTATCTGTAAAACCTACTGCTATTTTTCTGTTTACTAACATCAGGTACAACCATCCTGAGAAGCTCCTGGAGACCAGGAGGGGGCGCTGTGGAGAGTGGGCCAACTGTTTCACACTGTGCTGCAGAGCTGTGGGCCTGGAGGCCAGGTACATCTGGGACAGCACAGGTGAGTTCCTGAACCTGCTGTTTGTCTTCAGACAGCTCAGAAAACAACTCTTTATTTATAAAGCGGTTTGTGATTTACCAGCAACATGTTGATGTGTCAGAAAGTGTGTTCGGTGTGGTTTCAGACCACGTGTGGACGGAGATTTACTCGGTGTCCCAGCGGCGCTGGCTGCACTGTGACTCGTGCGAGAACGTGTGCGATAAGCCTCTGCTGTACGAGGTTGGCTGGGGGAAGAAGCTGGCCTACGTTCTGGCTTTCTCCAAGGATCAGGTCAGGCACCAGCGTCTCTGTTATTTAACATCAGTTCTAAAACAACAAGGAGCTGATAAAAGGAAACAGCACGAGCTGCAGGTTACAACTGAGAGGTCGACCTGATTAACTCCAACATACAGACACAATTATAAATCATCTGTTCAAAATCATTGAATGAAAAACTATTTGTTAGAATAAAAGTTAAAAAAATAATTTATTAACTAAAGAATCGGTTTGTCAAGGTTAAAATTAGAATCAAACCACTTCAAGTTACTCAGATCTGTTTGTAAATTCAGGGCTTAAAGTTCTCCGTCACTTTGAATGTGGTCAGAACGCATTTCCGTCATCTGTAAGGGAGGGAAAAAAACAACTCTGGTTCTGTTGCGGTGTTGTTAAAGCCGCCCAGTCGCACCTCCTACTTTCAACAAATGAAACAAACCACAGCACACTTTTATCCAATCAGAGCGGAGCAGAGGAGGAAAATGTTGGCAAGTCAGATGTCAAAATAATATTTGTGTCAAAAAGGGAGTATAATGTGTTCTTTTTGTTTCTGATATTTATTTATCACTACTTTTATAGGGTTCTGGATGTTATAATCATGATTAAATGCAGCAAAATAAACTATTAAGGTAACAGATCTTTGTAATACTTGGTTTATTTACATAATAAATTTAATTGCTGGATGTCCAGCCCCTAAGGTAACTGTGGCCCCTGGAGCAGTTTAGTTGAACAGCCCTGACTTAGGAGCTTAAACCGAGACCAGTTTGATGATGAATAATGTCGGATGAGAAGCCTGACTTTTGCTTTTTCCACATTGGACTCCAATGGGAAGAAATCGAGTACATACTGCCTGCTTAAATGTTCGCTACATCAGAAATTGTTCAGCAAATGTGTTTCCATCTCTGCTTTTGTGCATTTACTCTATTACAGGATGGGGRAAATTGGTCTTGGCGGAGGTTTGCACTATCCGAGTGCTTCTAGCTCAGACTGAATTAATAAACTATTTGTAATTGAACATGGACTGTGAACTGTTGTAGTTCCTTGTTGGTTGGAAGTGGGAATAAAAAAAGACAGGTGTATGTTTGTGCTGCAGGTGGTTGATGTGACGTGGAGGTACTCCTGCAAACATCCAGAGATTTTATCAAGAAGAACCAAGGTTCAGGAGGCCTGGCTGCTGCACACCATCAACAGGCTTAACACTGCTGTGAGTCTGAACTCCTTTAAACTCAGCAAATTGGAGAAAAGCCACAGTGGCAGTGATATGTGACTCTTTCTATTAGAGACAGCAGTCCTTGAGCCCGGACAGGAAGATGGAGCTGACAGAAAGGCTGCTGGTGGAATTGGTAGAGTTTATTTCACCAAAAAAACCCAAAGCAGGAGAACTTGGGGGGCGTAACTCTGGCTCTCTGGCCTGGAGGTTAGCACGAGGGGAGACCAAAGCAGCTGATGCTAGTACAGCCACACAGGTACGCTTCAATGCATGTTGACTAACGGAGGTAGTCTTTATTACATGTTGACTAACACAGGTAGTCTTTATTACATGTTGACTAACACAGGTAGTCTTTATTAAGTTAGCTAACACAGATAGTCTTTATTACATGTTAGCTAACACAGGTAGTCTTTATTACATGTTGACTAACACAGGTAGTCTTTATTACATATTGACTAACACAGGTAGTCTTTATTACATGTTAGCTAACACAGGTAGTCCTCATTACATAATGACTAACACAGGTAGTCTTTATTACAT